TATGTTATGTATTACAATTATTGACTTACATATGTTGAACCATCCTTGCATCTCTGGGATGAAACCTACTTGATCATGGTGTGTCAGCTTTTTGATAATATGCTCCATTCTATTTGCTAATACTTTGTTGAGAATTTTTCCATCTATGTTCATGAAAGAGATTGGCCTGTAGTTCCTTTTTTAAGTTGGGTCTTTATCTGGTTTTGTGGTCAGGGTGATAGTGGCTTCCATAAATGAATTTGGAAGCATCCCATCCCTTTCAGTTCCTTTGAAGTGCTTAAGGACTATTATATCTATAATGGTTTTGTAGAATTTGACTGTGAATCCATCAGGTTCTGGGGGTTTTGTAGTTGGTAGTTTCTTTATTACTGAGTCAATTTCATTGCTTGTTATTGGGTTGTTAAGCATAATTATTTCTTCTTGGGTTAGTCTTGGTAGTTTGTATGTGTGTAGGAATCTGTCCATTTCTTCAAAATTTGCTAAATTGTTGGAATATAGTTTTTCAAAGTAGTTACTGTCTTCTGGATTTTGACAGTGTCTGTTGTGATTTTTGCCTTTTTTGTTTCTAATTGCATTGATGTGAACCTTTTCTCCCTTTGTCTTGGTGAGTTTTGCTAAAGGATTATCTATTTCATTTATTCTTTTGAAGAACCAGTTCTTTGATTCATTGATTTTTCTTTTACAGCATTATTAGTCTCTCATCTTTATAATTCACATTTCGTTTTCTGCTTTTATCTTTATAATTTCTCTCCTTAATTTCAGTTTTGTGTTGTTTTCCAAGTATCTTAAGATTTCTCATAATGTTGTCTATTTGACCTTGCTCTGTTTTCGTAATGTGAGCATTGATTGTGCTGAATTTTTCTCTTAGAACTATATTCATACTGTCTTAGAGGTTTCATTGAGTTGTACCATCATCATTAACTTCCAGAAATTTCTAAATTTCTCCTTTGATTTCTCTGTGACTCATTTTTTTAAGAGTATATTGATAATTTTCCAGGAGCTTCTCCATTTTACAAAATTTCTTCTATCATTGATTTCTATTTTCATGGCACAGTGGTCTTGTAGTATGCATGAGGTAATTTCTATTCTTTTATATTTACTTAACCAGGATTTGTGAACTAGAATGTGATCTATTTTGGAAAAAGTCCCATGTGGTGCTGAAAAAAATGTATACTCTTTTGTAAATGGGTGAAATATTCTGTATGTATTAGTAAGCCTATATGGTCAAGGGTGTAGTTCAGCTCTGAGATTTCTTTACTGGTTTTTTGTTTAGTGGATCCATCTCTTTGCAAGAGTGGGGTGTTAAAATCCCCTATTATGATTGTGTTAATATTTATTTGATCTTTGAATTTCAATAGTTTTTGTTTTATGAAGTGCTCCAATATTTAGTGCATGTGTATTTATCAATCTTATTTCTTCTTGTTGGAATATTTCCTTAACTAGTAATGTAGTGACTTTCTTTGTCTCTTCTAATCAGTTTTAGCCAGAGGTTTACAATGTCTGATATTGGAATTGCTACCCCTGCTTGTTTTTGGAGTCCTGGTCCATGAAATGTTGTTTCCCATCCTTTAATATTTATTCTATGAGTATATTTCTGGATTAGATGAATTTCTTGAAAGCAACAGACTGTTGGATTCTATTTTTTGATCCAGGCTGCCAGTCTGTCTTTTCTCAGTTGGAGAGCTGAGGCTATTAACATTGGTGAATATTATTGAGATGTGTTGGTTATTTATTATCATTGTCTTCTTTATCTGTTGGTATATTCTTTGTTTTTCTTTTTCTGATGTCTTTTGTTGCTGTTTATCCATTGGTTTCAGTTGTTTCATCATTTCTGAGGAGAATATTCTTAAGTACTTTCTTTAGAGCCAGTTAGGACTTACATACCTTCTGAGCTGGTCTCTTTTGGGGGAATGCCTTATTTCTCCATCTATTTTGAAGAATAGCTTTGTTGGGTAAGTTAAGCTGGGTTGGAAGTTATTTGGTTATAGGGTTTGAAATATTTCACTCCAAGCTCTTCTGGCCTTTAAGGTTTGTGTTGTGAAGTTTGCTGATTCTAACTGGTTTACCTTCATATGTGATCTTTTTCTTTTTCTTTGGCTGCTTTTAAAATCCCATTTTTTCATGGATATCTGGTAATTCAATACAGATAGGCCTCAGTGAGATTTTTTCATCATATTTATTTGGTGTTTTATAAGTGTTGCTTATTGTATATTAAATTCTTTTCTTGTATTTGGGAAATTTTCTTCCATGATTTCTGTAAGCATGTCAGTGAATCCATCTGTGCTATCTTCTAGTTTTTCTCTAACTCAGACTAGCCTTAGAGTAGTCTTCAGGTTGTCATCTAGTTGCTGCTGGATAGTTTTCTCTTGTTCTCTTATTTTCTATTTGGCTTCTTTGAGCTCTTTATCATAATTCACTATTTTGTCCTCAATATCTGTCACTTTTATCTTCACATTGGTCATTTCTGCAGTGTATGAATTCTATACAGTTTTTTACTTCAGGTATTTCTCTCTGACATTTTTTTTGAGGTTCCATATCCTTGTTGAATCTGTCATTCAGATTTTAACTGCTTTGTTTAGCTCATCTATTTTTTTTTTTTAACCTGTTTCCCTGAAATTCGCCATGGGCATATTGAGTGAAATTGCTGTGAATTTTTGGTTTATTTCTGCTTTGAACTCATTTATTTACATCATCCCTTCTATGAACTTTTCATACACTTCTGCTACCTATGTAATTTTTTTTCTCCCTTTGTGACCCCTTGACTTGCCTTGAGAGAATTGCAGGGGGGGCCGGTATTCAGAGATTTTCTATTTCCTTGTGCATATATGGGCGTTTTGGCAGGAGTTACTGCAGATTCAGAACTACAAAAATGGGATTTTTGCAGCTTAAATGGAGATTTTTATTAGTATGCTGCCTCTGCATAAATAACTTTCAGCTTTGTATGGTCAGTGCTAGTATTTATGCCTTCTGTTATTTACTTTAAGTGATTTTGACTTCTCTGTACGTTTTACTGAAAGAATCACTACTGGTTATAACAGCATCCACAGATTCAATCTTACAATGCTTCTCTATGATAGTCTTTGCAGTTACACTTCTCCCATTTGTCTCTTCTCTATGCACGCTCTATCAGTTTATTTGTCCATGGTGGTCCTGCAATGAGGTAGGTTAGTTGAAGTGGAGAGAATGAGAGTTGGTTGCATGAGTAGTGTTAGATACTAATGAGAGGCTTGCAGAGGGGAATAGTGGTAGCAGAAAAGAAAATGTTGATGTGGCTTCTGATTTTATTGGAGTACTTTTAGTTGAGTTGAAAGGTTAGTATTGAGAGTTTTCAGGGGATATTTTCTAGAGGCAAGGGTGAGCTATGGGACAAAGAGGGGTTACTTTGTGATTGAGGAAAGCTATGTGTTTGTCATAACTTGCTGATAGAGTGGATAATAAGCTAGGTAAGATATGGAAGAGCTAAAGGCTTAGGATGGGGAGGATCAAAGACTAATACTAGAGAAGACAAGAGTGACTGTGAGGGAGCTAAGTATGGAGAATTTAAAAATTTGGGAGGAGGAGTTTATGTGTTTGGAAAAAATGAAGAAATAAATTAGTAGTATTGTCTCGAGGTTTTGCGGTGAAGAAACTAGGTAGGTATTGAGATGAAGGAGAGAATCTAGACACCTATTAAACAGAGCCAGTGAAAGAACAAATACACCAAAGTAACAACCTAATAAACACAGGAAACCATAAAAGAATATAACACAACCCCACATTACTAAATAAATCAAGAAACATACAAAGACTTAAACCTATAAAATGTCCAGTGGGAACACAGATTAGATATTCCAGTGAGACATTGCATGTATGATCCCCAAGCAGCTTCTTTGCCAGAGAGCTCACACCCCAGCACCTCCTCCGATCCTTCTACTGCATACTGAAGCCAGCTCAGACTCAGGACTTCTTTCCTCCAGGTTGCAGACATCCTTGCACAGTCTGACTCAGTCCAAAATCTGGGGTTTGGAACTCTTGCTGTCCCTCTCCCCGAGTGTGATGGTCAATTCAGCAGACAGATTCACTAGCGTGAAATTCTCCACTGAGTCAGGACAAATCCTATGCAAGCAAATCAACTACAGTAGTAACAGTCTAATCCGTTACAGTGTTGTCTATCAGGGATGGTTGAGAAATAACACAGCATGAAACCCTGTTGGGGGTCTCCCTTTAGCCTAGAGAAGAAATCCATGGGTATAGTGTAAGCATTTTCACAACCCAAGGCTTGAACCACAGTTAATGTGCACTACATGTGATGGCTGTTTCTCTTCTAATGGTGAAAAACAGCCTTCAACAGTAATTTTATAGAATCAGTTACCTAAAGTTCAGGGAGTTGAAGGCCAGGTATCGCCAGAGGGAATAAAAAGGAAGAGAGGAGAGGAGAGGAGAGGAGAGGAGACAGGAGGGGAGGGGAGGGGAGGGGAGGAGAGGAGAGGAGAGGAAAAACAGGTTTTTTCTAAGCCTTTTGCTATGTGATACGGGAAGGAGGAATTATAAGAGGGGCAAAGGATCCTAATGATAGGGTATGTTAGATGTTTTGAAGGGGATAACAAGGAAAGCAGTACAAAATTGGTAGTGAGAAATGGAATGGGAAAAGATTCTATGACTGATATAAATAGTGGAGGAAAGGTTACAGGAAGACGAAATAAAAGGGGGAGAGGAAAGAAAAGAAAAATTGAGGATGAGTAAGACACAGAAGAATGATGTCAGCCGAAGAGACATAGATAAAAACAGAAGGCATGGAAAGGGGCAGGGAGAACTCCCTTACCATCTCTAAGCTACACTGGAAGGAAAAAGACAAGAAGAGACGTATACAGACTGGCTCATAAAAGAAAAAGAGTAAAACAATGGAATAGAAGTGTGAGGGGAATGTAGAGAAGGAGGTAAATGGCAAAGAATAAAACAAGTAAAAATAAAAATTAAAAATCATACAGTCAAATAAAGAATAATAAAAGCAAATGTCCTACTGTTGGGACGCGTGGCTCTTCCTCAGCCTAGAGCTAAGGAGCAGAGCTCAGGCCAGGCCTTGTCGCTGCTCACGCCGGAAGTCTTCCGCGCTGAGGGTGGCGATCTGCCTGTGTGAGCACAGCCCCCCGGGGTGCGCTTCCGGCCCTGGTGCAGGAGCAGCTGGGCGGTCTCCAGCCCCTGGCCCTCGGCAGGACGCCCAGTCCGCTCTCCAGCTGCTGGCGGTCTCCCAGGGCCGCCCTTCCCTCCTCCGCTCTGGGAACTTGCAGCACGAAGCAGCCGCGGGCTGCTCTGGGACCCAGGTTCGGACACTCGGCCCTTCCCGCAGTGGGGCCCCGCCAGCGCCCCGGGTCGAGGTCACCCACCAGCTGTTGACGCCGGAAGCAGCTCTGGAAGCAGCGCCCTGCGCTTTCTTGCTGATTCCTATGAGTGTGATTCTTTCTGTCCCAACGCAGTTCTCCGATTCTCTGTAAGCAAAAGAGTTGTTAGTTTCCCTTAGCCTCCCAGCTGGGGTCTCTCCTCCGCGGTGTGATTTGTCCCTTCTGTATCTCCTGTATCTCCTACTCCTGTTATCTTCTCCTGTCAGTTCCCTCCTCTCACTTCAGTTCCTCCCCAAGCGATTCTTTGCCACTCTCTCTGGACACTTTGTCCTGGAGAAAGAAGCTGAGTTGCTGCTGCTCACTGCTTTGCCATGGGCGGGGAGGGGTGGGGGGGACCTAAAATTTAGCCTTTATAAAGAGTGAAATCAGTAATGACCACAAAAATCTTTTTGTATAGAATTTCAGCCTGAGAGAAAACCGTATTTCCTAACAGATATCGAAGCCATTATTTACAGATCTCTTTCACAAAAGGAGAGCTTGGAGGGGACGTTTATTGAGACATGAGTGCCTTTATTCAAGTAGCAGTGAAGAGCTACACTTTGAGGAACCCTAGCACGAGGCCTCCTTAGACAAAGCTGCCCTAAGTCCCTGTGTTCTGCTCTGCTCCCCCATCTGACTTCAACATTACTCACTGGGTCCTTCTTCCTTTTACATAACCCAGTGCCATTCTGTTGTGGCCAAGTTTGTCTCTGCACCACTCTGATAAGCCCCATGCTGCTCTTTGTAAATGTCACTCTCAGGAGATACCCTGTTTTCGGAAAGAATTATTTTTTAAGGCATTTGCTGAATGAATTCACTCTGAAGTGTGTTTGGATAAGGGACTTTTCAAAGATTTTTGAAAATATTTTTTAACTTTCAGGAGAGCATCTGGAGACAGGTAACCTATTCTTGATTCCAGAAACTCACTAGACCTGAGACGGACAAAGAGAATGAAGAAAGACAGATCTCTTGAGATGTTTCCGCAGGGTCTGGTGCAGCAGCCAGGTTTCTTACTGACTGCACCTCTTGCAGACTTTCATCACTTATACCGAGAAATTGCTCAAACATTTAGGGAATTAAATATAATTTAGTGTATTAAATGTCTATAATTAAACTTACCATTTGAGCCTCAAGGTTGTAAAAATGTATATTTTGGTACAGTTCAGTCACATCTGAATTGTTTAGAGTTAGAGTCGACAATGTAGACACTCAGTCCTTAGTTACAAAATAAAGTATATGCGGTGATTTTGTAATTATTTGCTTATGTGTTACTTTTTCCTGCTGTATGTTTAAATCAATTCTAAATGATTACCTATGAGATTTGAATCATTAAAAAAATGGAACACAAAAGCAAATATTATTTAACTTTCACAATATTTTAGAATGAAAACAAATTTATCCATAATAAAGTCACAAGAGTGTTACACCGGAAAGAAAGGTGGGTTTCCGTCTGTGAGAAACCTCAATAGTCTGGATACTAAATTGAGGAAAGGGAGCAGAAGAAGGCAAGAGTAAATACAATCTGTTGGATTTTATGACAGGGTGAGCAAATCTTTGGTCAATGTAATGGTATTGCTAAAGATTATTTGTTTTATATTAGCATAAATCATAAGCAAAGAAATATCATCAGTCTCTATTATGAATGGGTTTTGCTCTCAAATGCTTATTCACTGATATCTCAATAGATTTTAATTTTTAAATTCTTATGCTTTATTTAGAAAATAAAAAGCAAAATAAAAGCTAGATAATAGAAAGTAGGAAGATAGGTTGTTTTCAAAGGGGAAGGTCAGGAGGTGGAGGGAGAGGGAGGAGAGAAAATGCAAAAGGAATTAAGATGTGCTGTGTACCAACTCCACACGAGGGATGTGAACATGATGCACTGCACATGTGTCTAACAAATGAAAATAATAACAATGAATTTACTAAATTTAAAGTTAACAAATGAAAGTAAAAGTCAACTCTATCACATTAGAGATAACTGTTGTCAGAATACTCATGTATTTTGTTTGATACAACTTTTATCGAAATTCAAATAATTGAAATCCTGTTATAGAATTTTTAACTTTTTCCCATTTCCCCATGTCAGTATTTACCAACATTATGATTTGTAATAGTTGCCTAGTCACCCAACATAGAGCTGTACTATAGTAACAACTTAACTATTACCAGAGTTTTAGTTTAATTATTCCTAGACTTTGAATTCTTCCTTTTACTCTGTACTAGAGATTAAACCCAGGACATCATACATGCTACGAAATTTTTCTACCACTGAGCTACATCCTAACCCTTCCTAAAAGTTTTTGAGAAAAATTCTCACTAAATTGTCCAGGCTGACCTCAAACTCAAGATTTCCCTGCCTCAGCCTCCCCAGGACCTGGGGTTATAGACTTGTGCTACCATACCTAGCTGACTTCCTTACTCAGGTTTAAGTCTATATGAATCCACTCCATAGCAAAGTCCTCTGTATGTGACGACTTGTCTAAGTCTTTGCTCATTTCCATGAATTACATTGACAAATTAGTGGGTTAAAAATATAGACTATTTTAAGGTTAGAAATGTAGATATTTTAAAACTTATTTGCTACATTAATGTTAGTTTATTTTAATATTTTTATTTACTCATCATAGCCTGAAACGGGAAACGATCTGTTTGCCAAAAGATTAACATTTATTAGCACACAAAAGTGTACATCCTATATGATTCCATTTGTATAAAATCCTAGAAAAGATAATTCTAATATATAGTAAAAGAAAATAATGGCTGACTGATAATGATCCACTGTAGAAAACTTAAAAAGTATAGATAAGCAAAGAGAAGGAAGTTTTCTCAGCGTTCAGGGTTTTGTATAATCTAATTTTCTGATACATAGGTACATAAGAAACAAATTAGATTTAGAGAAGTTTATTGCCTAGCAAGTGAATTCCATAAATAACTGTACCACTTTTGCTATCCTTGAGATTATTTTAAGATACAGTTCTTATCTAATGCTTTAAAGTTATTTCTTAATGCTGTCTGCTACTATCTTTCATCAGTAAAGAGAAATTGCCAAATGAGTTGCATATTAAATTAATTCATTTCCTAATAAGTATTTCTACAACTTTGGTCTCCATTTATTACAGAAAACAGTGGCAATTTCCTAAAATTATTAGCAGTCTGCATCATAAAATATTAATATGCATTTAAATTAAACAATAACCTCGTCTCTTCTTTTCCTGAACTGAGGAATTTTGCATGTCCCATTAGCTCCTGTCATGTTCATTGAAAGAGCAGGTTTGCTCCACTTAGCACTGCTGACATTCCGGGCTGGGTGACTCTTTGCGGGGAAGGTTGTTCATTGTAGGGTATGTAGCAACATCTCTGGCGTCAACTCACTGCATGCCCATAGCACCTAAACCCCAGTTAGGACATGATTACAGATTAGTAGCACAGGCTTTGAAAGCCCTTTGCTAGGACAAGCCTATATATGCTCAAATTATTTCTGAATGCACCACAATAAAGAAGCCTTAAGAAAAGAATGCCAGAGTCTTATGACATGAAACGTGGAGAGACACTTTGCAGATCTGACCATGCAACTTTATGATGGGTATTAGTTACATAGGACTCTGCTGAATCCTATTTTAAACAAATGAAGCCGACTTCATTTTCCTTCTGTAGATAGGCAGGTGTTTAGCAAGGTTAAAAATAAAAGACTCAGAGATTTTCAAGTTAGTGGGAATCTTTGGTGCTTTTCCAATTAGCTAAGAAAGGATGTTTGGAAGAATTAGACATTTGAGAGGCAAGAAAGCACTTTAATAGCTGAAATAGCTATCTTCATTCTCATTCTGGGCTAGATAAAGATTACCCTCCAAGGGAGGCAGGTGAGTACACTATAGGAGCAAGTGTCAACACCTGTTCAATGGTCGTTGTGCTGAAGATACTGTGCCAGGCCATTGGAGAGAGAAATGAGAAGAGAGCAGAGTCAATGTCCTTATGAAGCTGATAGTCTGGGGGAAATTATACCCTAACCTTTATACAGGTGGGTAGCATTACTAGCAGAGGAGACAGACAGTTCAGCAAAGAGGCCATCTTTCATCAACTGCCAAATGAGTAGTACAGACAGTAGCAGTGAGAGTTTAGAAGAAAGAATCCTGCAGACAGGAGAGAAAAGAGGTGGGCTTGGAAGAGCTGGGATCTGAAATTGGAGTGGAGATAGGAAGATGGGGTGAGTAAATACACCCAGTTAAGTACAGCTAACAAAGAGATAACAGCTCAAAGCATGTCTGGTATGTATTTAAATAGATCCTAGAAATAAAGTCGGAGGAAAAGATGAGGCCAGATCTATTAGGTCCTTGAATATTAGGCTAAGGAATCTTGATTATATAATGAAACCCATTGTTGAGGTTCTGTGAAACAATAATTCCAGGAGATGGAATGAAGCATTGTGTAGTTAAATAAGCTGGAAAATGGTGCACGCTAAGTATATACACCATCCCGGAGACATAGAATGCATATTGGTATTTAGAGGCTGTGATTTTATGAGAAACAGGAACATAGAGCATTTTTCTATGTGGTGCACAGCAGCGTTCAATGAAACAACTTAGATGAAATTTGCAATTTAATAAATAAAAGGGAAGCATTAGCTATGTTTTTGAATAGGACATACAATCTAGTTATTTTAGCCTACAGTTAGTGTGTAGATGAATGAGGCCAAATATGTTCAAGAGACAGGAGAGACCTTCTGCTCCAGTTATTCAGTCATGTCCATATTGTGTGCTAAACAAGGCAAAATAGTGAAGAATGGAGAAGTCATCCCTACCCTCGTGGAGTTTAGAATGTAAATGGGAGAAAATGCAGAGCTGACTTTTTCTGAGTACTAAAAAATAAAGAATACTTTTCTAAATTTTGTTGAATAATTTTGCTGAGATATTTCCTCCTAAATATGCCGTCAAGAAAGAACCATTTTAATATTAGCAAGATCACTGAACCTTGTCAAAATAATTAACTTCGCTGGTTTTTATGCTTAAGTGTGGATTTATTTGATCTTGGACAGGAAATAACATTTAAAAATATTGATTTGAAAAATGAAAAGGAAGTAAGGAGCAGAGAGAAAGAGGAAGTCTATTTTTTTGCTTTGATTTTTGTTTTGTATGTATCATATGAAGAAAAGTACACATATCATAATGTGCAGCTTGATTTTCACAACCTGAACATATATTTGTAACCAAATAAATTAAAATGTTACCAGTTTCCCTAAAGCCCTCTTCAATCCCGGTTCCACTTACAACCCACCATAGTAACCACTACAGCAACTTCTTTCAGGCATATATATTCAGTTTGCCTCTGTATTTGTGTGTGTGTGTGTGTGTGTGTGTGTGTGTGTCTGTGTTGAGTATAAATGCAACCATTCATTATATAGAGAGTTTAAAGGAAGCCTACAAAGCAAGCCTTACTCTAAATACAGGTCTTTCTGTGTTGCAGTGATTCTCAAACTTGGTTATACATTGGAAGCACCCAAGACTTGTAAAACTTACCGATGTCTGAGTCTCAGAGAGATGCTTACTCTAATTGCTGTGAGGTGGCCTTGGGAGTCACCATTTTCAAAGCACACTAGATGATTCTAATGGCACCCAAGGGTGAGACTCCCTTCTATAAAGTGTTGAAGGGAAAGCCATAGTTGTTTTCATAATATTAGCACTAGCCCAAAGCCATTATGTCTAACTAATATTTGTAAACCTGAGCTTTCTGTGTCTAGATTTTAGGTTAGTAGTTTGGCAGAAGAAGTAGAAGTCATCTATGACTAATATCCTTCCCACAGTCTGTCACCTGGGCAGCAAACCGTTCTGAATCCAGGACAGTGTGGGAGGCGAGTAGGACTGCCTTACTTTAGCAGAGCTGCTGCTTAGCAGATGTTAGAATGCCATCAGGTAGGTGCTGCCTAACAGAACTGCTGTATTTGTGGCAAAAGCTATGAACACCTCAGATCTATAAAAATATTTTCATTTTACCCCAAATATCTCCTAAGTAGCAAGCTAGTAAAAATTGATTCTTTCATTCATGTTTCTTTATCTTTCTCCATCCTTTTTTGATTTTAGTAAAATTTTGAAAGAATGTTTTTTCACAAATAATATACTGTAATTTCAAGTGTCTGAAGTTGGGGAGAAAGCAGGCTTACCCTCCTGACATACAGTG